TTCAGTGATGCCCAATAAGTTGAAGCCATGGGATGATTTGTAATCGCGTCAAAATCAAACCATCTCTACAAAAAAAATAGATAAATTAAAAATAAATCAAAATTAAAAATATTAAATATATAACTTTATAAATAATTTACCGAAAGATACTGCAACATTCCAACCCTTTCGGCTTCAGAAACCTCTGTCCATGTGTCTTTATCAAAACCGATGTCCCGCCACATATAGCTCCCAACCTCCCGAATAAAACATTCATACACCTCCCCAATCGGCATGTTAGTATTTACGTCAAATACTATCTTAAGAGGCCGTTCACCGTTAGCTTTATAGAGTTTGTGCATTTTTTTATTTACCGCCATGCCTCTTCGTTTCGGAAGCACCACTGCATAAAAAAAATATTAGTCAGAATAATTTTTTATATACATACAATGTGAAATACATTGAATTAGAATAGATTTTAATTACCATCGTTTTGGTGATCACCAAAACCCCCACCGAACGGATGTGGTGGCTCGTCACCACCGTCGCCTCCATGACCCATCACAGCAGCCATGAGATGGAGCAATGCAATCCAAAAAAATGACATCCTGAAAAATTATAACACAATATGATATATATATATATATATATATATATATATATATATATATATATAATATGACTACAACAAATACAAACCTTATTTTACTAATTAAATGTAAAAAGATTTTTTAATCATTCTCGCCCCCAGACACTTCAGTGTCTGCCGATACATCACTATCATAATCAGAATCTTCCTCATCATAATCAGTCTCGCAATCAGACACATTATTGATGATACTCGTTGGTGGGTCAACTTCAATATCATCTTCAATCGATTGAGAATTTTGAAAGTACTGGCTAAAGTCAATTGAGAGAGTGAAATTGGAAGAAGCATTACTAAGAACGACATCGGTTGAATCATTGTCGATATTTTCAATGGGATCATGATCAACATCATTCATCGGTAGATCCCAAATTCTTCTATGATTAACATTTTCAACAACCCACCGTTGGGTGTCATTTTCGTCACTTGGAGAAGGTTCTTGGATGTAAAATACTTGCTTGGCCTGCGTAGCAAATATGAGTTGATCTTCGCTGCTCAATTCGCGTTGTGGGTCGATAGTGGTGAAATTATTATCAGATTTAACTCCTGCAGTATCGAACCACTTGCAACGAAAAAGTACGGTGGAATATTTATGTGGATAATGCAACTCGATAATCTCTTCTAGCTGACCATAATATTTCTGCTTATGCTCTCCCTCAGTTAGAACCCCCGAGTTTTGTGTTGATCGTTGAGCGTCACGCATAAGTACCATATACCTAACACCATTCACTATGCAAGCGGTGTAAGTAAAGGCATGCGCATGCACACCGATTGAAAGAGCTGATAACTCCTTATTAAACTCTAGAGATTTTTGTTTTTGCATATCATAGACCTTATGAAGAAACCATTTAGGAAATTCGATTTTTTCATCACTTTCAGGATGTAATGATTTGAATTCACTACATTGATGAAAAAATATATATATATATTTAGTAAAAATGTGAAATTAAAAAAAGACAATGAATTAAAAGATAAGAACACTTACGCAATATACTTTCTGACTTCCTCACAATTATCAAGCACAAACCAATGTAGACGTTTTCTCTCCTCTAGACTGAGATTTTTCATTTTCCTTCCGCTAGTTGGTCGACACTTAGACTGAAACACCCATAGCTTTGTTTCTTCTATGATAACATCCTCGTTTCTTTCAAGGCGATTGAATCGAGTCTCAACATCTTCAAGGTACATCGAACAAAATGATAATGCCTCTTCAGCGACATAACCCTCAGCTATAGAACCTTCCGGCCTCGCCTTGTTTCTGACATAGTTTTTTAGTTTTTTCATATACCTTTCAAAGGGATACATCCATCCCATACATACTGGGCCTCCAGAAATTGCTTCATCAGGTAAATGCAAAACTAAATGAACCATAATGTCAAAAAACGCAGGAGGATAGATCACTTCTAATTTGCACAACATTTTAATAATGGCTGGTTTCGCTTCTTTCATATCCTTCACCGACAATGTTCTTGAGCAAAGTTGCTTAAAAAACATACAAAGCTCTATTATTGGTGTATAAACACCTTTCCCCAAAAGACCTTTAACTCCAATGGGTAACAAACGTTGCATAAGAATGTGATAATCATGAGATTTCAACCCAATAATGTTAGTATTGGTTTCATTCACTTTCTTACCGATGTTAGATCCAAACCCATCTGGCAGTTTCACATTTCTTATAAACTTACAAAAACGAATGCGGTCAGCTTTCGTGAACGAGTAAGGTGGATGGGGTTTATGGAACTTGTTTCCATTCTTTTTCAACCATAGATTTTTCCGAATGTTCAGTTTTGTCAAGTCCGCCCGAGCATTTGATGTGTCTTTAGACTTATCATTCATCAGAGAAGTACCCACAAGACTCTCACCGACATTTTTTTCAACATGCATAAGATCGAAGTTGTGCTTCAGCTCCAGAGAAGACCAATACTCAAGTTCAAAGAATATGCTCTTTTTGGACCAATTCAACTCGAAATCCTCACGATCTCTCTTAATACTAGCTCGTTGAGCAGCTACTTTACCCGGTGGACGAAACAATAGACGAGCGTGTTGCGCTTGTATTTCTTCCTCACTAAACTTTCTTGGAGGACCTCTTGTCTCATGTTTGCCATTATAGTCCAAACTTTTTCTCCATGGATGGTCAGCATCTAAGAACCGGCGATGACCAATATATACGACTTTATTTGATACTCGGTATGACGGGGTGTCTTCGTTGCAAGTCGGACAAGCTTTGTACCCTTGTCCGCTCCAACCGGATAAACTACTACGAGCAGGAAAGTCGTTTATTGTCCATAACAACATCGCTTTCAAATTGAAGAATGTATTTGTCGCTGCATCTTTAGTACGTACTCCAAAACTCCATAATTGCTTCAACTCATCCACCAACGGCCTAAGGAACACATCCAAGTCCTTCCCGGGTGCTTTGGGGCCGGGAATCAACAAGGTCAACATGAAAGATGACTCTTTCATGCATAGCCATGGTGGAAGATTGTAAGTGGTGAGTATGACAGGCCACGTGCTGTGAGGATTACACATGTTACCAAACGGATTAAAACCATCAGCAGCAAGCCCTAAGCGTACGTTTCGGGGTTCCCTCGAGAAGTCAGGATACTTCATATCAAATTTTTTCCATGAAGTACCATCAACGGGATGAATCATCGTACCATCTTTGGATTGTCCGGTACTATGCCAAATCATATCTTTAGCTGTGTGTCTTGAACAGTACAAACGTTGTAGTCTGGGGGTCACAGGAAAGTATCGTAAAACCTTATGAGCCACCTTCTTACCCTTTGTATTTTCATCAACCCACCGACTCTCATTACAAACTGGACATTTTTGCAACAACTCGTGCTCTTTCCAGAAAAGAAAGCAGTCATTTTTACATACGTGTATTGACTCATAACCTAAGCCGATCTTTTTAAGTGTCTTTTTTGCTTCGTAATGTGATGGGGGGACCCTGTTTCCTTCAGGAAATGCAGTTTGCAACAACTCAAGAAGCTGATCGAATGAACTATCAGTCCATTTGTTGATCACCTTGATATGCATCAGCTTTGCTAAAAAGTCAAGGGACGAAAACGAACATCCAGGATATAATTTGAATTGGACTTCCTCTAACAGCTTTTGAAATCCAACATCAACACCTCTATCGTCTGTATCTAGGTTCCCTTCGTTGCAGTTGCTATCATTTTCAATCACACCTCCCATAACATCATCAATAACATCAGCCATCTCGTTACTACGCAGTATGTCTTCGACAACCGGGTGAGTTGTATTTTCGCCGTGATACTTCCATATAATATAATGTGGACTAAAACCATGTTGAAGTATATGGAATTTCATTATGGCTAGTAGTATAAATTTATTGACATTGCATTTGTTACACGGGCATCTAATTTGACCTTTGTTATCGACATGTGGTTTGGACCTCTCGAGAAAAGATTCAAGTCCTTGTTGGAACAAGGTAGAGTTACGGTTTTCAATAGTAGTCCACGTTTTATCAATAGACATGTTGCAACTGAAACAAACGTTAAGTTTTAGTGTTTACTCTACAAGAAGTAAAACTTGGATTCAATATTTATAACAACCGAATATTTCTTAAATTATTTTTTTTATTATAGCATGATACTTTAAACGATAGTATATATATTTGTTATTTATATTAACGTTTTTTTTTTTCATAACTTATAGATTTAGCGTAGCGTTTTAACTTTTAATTTTTTTTATTATTAAATTTTACTGTAAATGATATTATATATTTGTTATTTATTTAATTAGTTTTTTTTTCTTTTAAGAACCTTTTTTACGAATGTTTCTTCATTAACTTATAGAAAAAATTATCTATTATGATGTATTCATTTTATTCTTTTAATATACAATAAAATATATTTCTAATAATCATATGAATATTCTTAAATTTTACATACAAATTCATGATGAACATACAATAGTTTCACAAATATATATATATATATATATATATATATATATATATATATATATATATATATATCAATTTCACATATAAATTTATCAAACTCATACATGATATATATAAATTTATCAACAAGTATATATATATATATATATATATATATATATATATATATATATATATATATATATATATATATATATATATATATATATATATATATATATATATATATATATATATAAACTACTCAATTCATACAAAACATATCAAATTAATCAACTAAACAAACATTCAACCAATTGAAAAAAAAGATCAAATTCACAGTTCTAGTTCTAGGTTCATAAACAATTTTACAGTTCTAGGTTCATAAACAATTTTACAGTTTACATCAAATTATACTAATCAAACTAACCTGTCTGCCAGCAAAATGAAAGCTAGAACAACTTTTCAGTGGTGAAGCTGCTGAACTTGAACCTTGCTGGAACGAAGAACAAAAAAAAAAAAAAAAAAAAGAAATCAACTCAAATAAGAATCGGTGGTGTTAAATGGAGTACAATGGCCGGAGATATGAGCAAGAACGCTAACCTCGCCGGAGAAATGAACACGAAATCGAAGCTCCCGTCGGAATTGGAGGACACTCGCTTTGGAGTTAAACCGCCGGTGGGTGGGACTCGGTTTTGGAGGACAATCGGCGGTGGGAGAAGGGTTTGTAGCCCAATCAGCGGTGGAGAGCGTTGGGAGTCGCCGGAGTCGCCGGAATCGCCGGTTGAAAGAAAAGGGACGCTAATAGCGTCTGGGGAAGACGAACTGGAACATAAAGGGCTAAGCTATTAGCGGCGACGCTAATAGCGGCGACATGTGGCTATTTGCGGCGACAAATTGGAGGGAATCATACGCGCACTTTTTGGCGATTACCAACCGTTGGATTTGGTTGGAATTGTAGGGTCAGATTTCGATTTAGGGTGCGTTAACGGATCGGACCCTTTAGCGGCGACATGTCGCCGCTAAAGGCGTCGTCTCTAATGCCTTATCACAGGATTAAACCCTATCCATTGGATTATTTTCCAAACCAAGGGTCACGATTGAAAGTAGCGTATCTCCGACGGATCACCGGTGTCTGTCTTTAGCGGCGACATACAGCGCGTCAAGTCTGGTGTCGCCGCTATTGATTATGTCGTCCCAAAAAACGTCGTCCCTAATACTCCGAATTCTTGTTGTGTTTTTGCTTTCTTATCAATATTTAATTGGGTAGGAGAATTTGTAGAATGAAAAATTAGGAGGATATTTAATTTCTCTTTGTCAAATGGATGAAAATTTTTATACGACCATGATTATTGGTTTTATAGCTGTAACTATATTTATAATGATAATTGTTATTATTCTTATATCTTAGTTTACAATAAAATTGCTTGCGGAGTCCATCCAACAAACTTGATTAGGTAATGCGCTATTTTTTCCGGCGACTACAAGGGACCCGCTGAACGTCTAACTGTCTAAGGGTCCCAGGTTTTGAGCTTAATATAACAGTATATAATATTATTTAGCCATGAAAAATCACTAAAATTGCTAATGAAATTTATGAAGAAGAACTAGAAAACCGATTTCCCAAGAGCCATTGATAAGATTTCATTAAAAAAAAAAAGAACTAAACCATTAGGAAACTATATAACTAGTTAAGTTATTAGTAAACCAAAAAACCAGTCCAACTTACACATCAAATTTTAAGAGGATAAAAAACCATAAAACATTGTTGCCGCCGTAAAAAGAATCATCAAAAATTGCAATTGACAAAAACTGATACTGCAGATATGCACTGTCTCTTTCTCTCTGTCTATCAAATTCTCCATGCCAGGTATATGCCATTTATATGATAAGTCATAAGAGTCACTGATAAGAAATATTGAAGACGTAAAGTTATGAGTAGTGTAAAGGTAGTCTAAATGTAACTATCTAATTAAGTACCTACATCCTAACAAAAAGTATAAAAACCTACAAAAAGTAAAATAATTTCTTTTGTGATTCATTAAAATAAATTTCAGCCTTTACTTTACTATAAAAGTAGGCTTGGAAAATTGATTGTTTGAATTGATTTAAAGTTATTTTAATTTTATTTTAGACATAAAAACAAAATTTTTTATTAGTTACATTCAGAATTTTGAACACGACTCTATTCGTTAATTACAAATTGTTTATCAATTACCGGTTATCATCTAGTGTAGATTATTTACAAAAGGGAATATAACTTATCAAGGTAATTAACTTTTCGGTATGTTTATATCTGGGTAACTATCTTTTTTTTGTACATATGTAGGTAACAAACTTTTTGGAAGTGTTCACATATGACCATTATGACCTGCTATAGCAGGTTAAATCCTAGATGTGAACTCTTTCAACAAGTTTGTTACCTTGATGTGTACAAAAAAATAGTTACCCAAATATGAACAAAATGAAAATTAAAAATTAAGTTACATGAATGGTCCCTGTGGTTTGGGGGAATTTGTGGTTTTGGTCCCTAATTTATTTTTTTAACTTAAATGGTCCTTACTATTTATTTTTGTTGCGCGTTTGGTAACCGTCTTACCTAAAAATACTATTGTGCCCTTATTAATTTATTTTTTTAATTAATTTTCTTATCTATGTATTTATTTTATACATATTTAAAAAAATTAATAGACCACACATATTTTTATCTCCTCGGATGATCTCTACTGTTTATTTTTAATTAATTTTTTTTAACTTGGTTGATTCTTACTGTTTATTTTTGTTACGCGTTTGGTCTCTGTCTTATCTAAAAATACTATTTTTCCCTTATTAATTTTTTAAATTAATTTTCTTATTTATGTATTTATTTTTTATAAAACCTGAAATCACATTTGAGAAATTTAATTTGAGTCTTACCATTAACCATCTCATCTCTGATCCTCCCCATCTTCTATTTCTTTTCCATCTTTAGTAACATCAATGTCTTCACCGTCCTTCTTTTTTTGGTACTTCAACTCTGGAGAACCAACACCATAACCTACTGTTTCTTCATATTTAGTGGGTTGTGGTGTTGTTTCGACGGAGTTGAAGGACCGAAAAAAGAAGTAATGATGAAGACGTCGATATCACTAAAGATGAAAAATAAATAGAAGTTGAGAATGATGAAAGATGGGATGGTGAGGAGATACAGATATGTGAGGTCTACTAATTTTTCTTAAACATATAAAGCATAAGTACATAAACAAGAAAATTAATTAAAATAATTAATAAGGGCACAATAGTCTTTTTAGGTAAGACAGAGACCAAGTTCGTAACAAAATTAAATAGTATGGACCATCCGAGTTAAAAAATTAAATTAATTAAAAAATAAATAGTAGGGATCATCCGAGGAGATACAAATATGTGTGGTATATTAACTTTTATAAATATGTAAAAAATAAATATAGATAAGAAAATTAATTAAAAATAAATAAATTAGTAAGGGCACAATAGTATTTTTAGGTAAGATGGGGACCAAACACGCAACAAAAATAAACAATAGGAATCATTTAAGTTTAAAAAAGTAACTTAGAGACCAAAACCACAAATTTCCCCAAACTATAGGGACCATTCATGTAATGTAATTTTTACTTTTCCTTTTGTTCATATTTGGGTAACTATTTTTTTTGTACACATCTAGGTAACAAACTTGTTGAAAGCATTCACATTTAGGATTTAACCTGCTATAGCAGGTCATATGGTCATATGTGAACACTCCCAAAAAGTTTGTTACCTACATATGTACAAAAAAAAGATAGTTACCCAGATGTGAACATACCGAAAAGTTAATTACCTTGATAAGTCATATTCCCTTTACAAAAATACTTTTTTAACGTAAGAAAAAAGAAGCATTTTTAAGAATGAGTCATCCATTAGTTGTAAATAGATATCATATTGTATAAGCCATGCAAAATTTCGTTCTTGAGTTTAAAAACAGTTTTCCATCAAAATAATTAAATAAATGAACTCACTTGAAAATCCATGGCATCCTCGATCCTGTCAATAATTGTGTCCATTGTAGGGCGCTCCTTTGAATTTAAGCTTATGCACTGATATGCAAGTTCTTTGAATATATGGAAGCAACGGCTACCGACTTGATCTTTTATAATTGGATCAAATAATTTCTCAGGCCCTTCATTGTAATAGCGTCTGACAAGGTTTATAAGATATTGTGGGCTACCATCTACGAACTTGGTTGGGACATAAGACATAGCCCCACTCAAGATTTCAAACAATACAACTCCGAATGAGTAGACGTCTGACTTTTTAGAGAGGATGCCACTTTCCTGGTAAACCGGATCCAAATAGAAGTTAGTACCCGCAGCTTTTGTAAAGACATGGGTAAGTTGCTGAGTTCCAAGGCCTTCTTTTGACAAGCCAAAATCACAAATTTTAGCATCTAGATTTTCGTCTAATAATATGTTTCCACTCTTCACGTCTCTGTGTATCACTTGGTGGTCCTTCCCTAGGCCTGAATGGAGGTAGTCAAGTCCTTTCGCTGCCCCTAAGCAAATCTTGAGGCGTTGTGCCCATGTTAGCAAACGCCTCTTACTTGGGTTGTGAAGATGGTGATCCAGGCTTCGGTTGATAGCGTATCTGGAAACAATAATCATCTCCTTGTCTTCTTCGCAGTATCCAACAAAAGGGATTATGTTTTGATGATGGAAGTTGGCAATCAACTTAAGCTCGCTAAGGAACTCCTTCTTTCCTTGGTGACCTTCCAGATTAAGGCGTTTGATGGCAACGTCTATGCAGTTTTTCCGGTCTTTAGAGAGTTGTCCTTTGTAGACAGTACCAAATCCACCATCTCCGATCAGATTTTCAGGATTGAATTCTCTGGTTGCCAATTTGATATCCTTTAGTGGAATTAGAAAACTTTCTAATTGCTGGCTTTGTGTGGTAATGGTTGAAGGTGCTCCGTGGATCTGTGACTAAAAACACAAGGAAATTCGCATAGAGATGTCATGCCATTTTTATAGTGGCTGAAATATCATGACTAGAATAGAGTCATTCAAACTTATGCCAGGTTTGACAATATAATTAATGATTCTCAACAGATGTTTACCAAGTATCCCTTACACCAAATTGTTTTAGACTTGAGACGAGTGGAACGTATGTTCCTTTTGACGATGATGATGAATCCAAATATTTCAACTCAATGTACATTTATCATGTTTTAATTTATTTGCACCTATTTAATTCATTCTTTCAATGACATAAAGTTTCTAGCTACATCCTTTTCTTCTTAATTTACATTGTATACAGTTATCAAAAATTATGATTATGATTTTATCCAAATAACAGTATTGTCTACTAAATGATTTATTTTGGACGACTGGCAAAATGATAAATTTACTAAACGGATTAAATGTATATTTGCTATACATATTTTCGATAAACTAATTATTTATAAAAATATAGATATATATAAAAAAGAAATTACAAAAGAAGTTGTGCATTATATAAATATTTCAAAATTATAGGGGTTGTAAATGAAGCTTTTATAAAATTTAAGTTAGATTTAAATTGGGATTAATGCTACTATTGTATTCCAACAAATATAGGTTTTGATCTTATTTGGTCACAAATCCCCCTTTATTTTTGTATTTTAAATTTCTATACTTACAATTTAAAAGAAAAAGATATCAAAAAAGTTATTATTGAAAGGAAGAACGAATAGCCGGTTAGAAAGGTGTTGTCACCGGAACTAACCTACATCCATATGGTTTTTTGTGATTATTAATAATATAAAATTTGAAGATGAGTTTCGCTTTCATATAAAAGTAGTTACAAAAGTTATAGGATTATATTTAAGGATAATGATTTGAAATGGTAACAGAATTTTAACTTTGTTTATATTTAATTTATATTTAATGATTAATTTTTTTTATTATTTATTTATCACTGAACTATTGAAACTGTTCATATTTTATCCGTGTGATCGGTAACAACCGGTCATAAAGGTAAAATGTTAACAATTTCAAGATTTTAGTGACAAATAATTAATGAAAAAAAGTATAGTTTAAATATGAATAAAATCGAAAATTCGTTTATCTGTAAAAAAAAATTCAATGATTAAATATGAACAAATTTCTTTTTGTATTATGTTTTAACAACTTATTTATTTTTGTTAAATTCTAACAACAATTGTTTAAATATGAATTGTTTTTTTTTAAGAAAATACAATCTCAAATATAAATCAATTGTCCGAAAAAATTAAAAATGTCAAAATCTAAATAACTTGACTTTCATTTTCGATATCCTTTTTAATAGTAAGTATAATAGTATGATATATCTAAATATATGGACCGTAACAACATATATAATGTATCAATGTATGTATGTATTCATTTATAAACAATGTATATGGTTAATCAATTTATGTCAATTTATATGTTGTATACTTTTATAACACAAAATTCATACATATAATATTAAGTTAATTTTTATACATATAATATTGCATAGTTTTATATTATAAAACTTATAAATATAATATTGGTTTCGTTTTTCATACCTTTTTTGGGTTTTTTTTATTTCATAATTTTAACAAATGTTTAAGTTTAACAAAATACATAATTTGCTAAACCATAATACAAGATGAAAGTTTGTTCAAATTTAGTTACTGAACTTTTTTGAAAGGGAAACGAATTTTCAACTTTGTTCACATTTAATCGCCAAATATTTTTTCATTATCTATTTGTCACTGAACTATTCAAACTGTTCACATTTTTCCTTTATAATTGGTTGTTAACGGTCATAAAGGTAAAATATAAATTATTTCAATAGTTCAGTAACAAATAGATAATAAAAAAAAAAATTAATGATTAAGTCTAAACAAAATGGAAAGTCGATTACCTTCTCAAATGATTATCCCATGTATTTAAAAGATAAGTATAGTTTATAGTGTTAGCATTAATGGTTAACATTAGCCCATTTTTGCTTTTGGCAACATTGAGCAACGAACCCATTTTTATATAACGGGCCCATGCATCTTTAAAATAACTAAATAGTTTTCCGTTTTGCTTATTAAAATACTATATCCATAAAAATATTCAAAATAAAACACTTACTTGAATATTTAGCGCTTCCTCAATTCTTTTGATGATCCTGTTAGACGTAGGGCGATCCTTCAAGTTCAAACTGATGCATCGATATGCAATTTTCTTAAACGAATGCAAAGAAAGAATATTAATTTGACCTCTGAGAAGAGGATCAATTAAGGTGTCAGGTCCTTCATCGTAATAGCGCCGGACCAAATTTATGAGTGTTTGTGGCTTATTATCACCAATGCTCCTTTTTTCACAAGCCAGCATCCCATTTAACATTTCAAACAACATCACCCCGTATGAGTAAATGTCTGATTCTATTTTGAGAATGCCACTTTCATTGTAAATGGGATCCAGGTAATATCGGGTACCCTCAACACTAGCATAAACTTGTGGCTGATCTCGGTCGAGTACTAATGACAAACCAAAACCGCAGACTCTTGCTTCAAAATTAGCATCTAATAATATATTTTAGCTGTTGATGTCTCTATGAATTACTCTATTGTCCTCCCCAAGGCCTGAGTGAAGGTGGTTGAGTCCTCTTGCTGCTCCAATGCAAATCTTCAGGCGTTGTGCCCATGTTAAGAAACGAATCTTATCAGGGTCTTGGAGATAATCAGCAAGCGTTCCATTGATAGCATACTCATATACTAAAATCTTTTCATTCCCTTCATCGCAAAACCCGATGAAAGGGATGATGTTTGCATGGTTGAAAGTGGACATCATTTTAACCTCATTAAGGAACTCATTCTCTCCAAACCCACCAGTGCGATCTAATCTTTTAAACGTAGCTGTGCGGTTTTGCCAACGATCTGAGAGCTGTCCTTTGTAGACCACACCAAATGCACCCTGTCGGATCCGAGTTTCAGGATTGAAATCTCCTGTGGCCAGCCTAATCTCTTCCAGTGGAATTAGGAAATTTTGTAGGTTCTGACGTTTGTGGCTTCGCATGGTAATGCTTGAATCAGCACGAGGGCTCTGTGAATATAAACCGAAATATGTTTGCTTATAGATTCTACCTTAGAATTAAGGAATGTTATAACAATTTCTAAGAAATAAAACCCAGTTCTTCACATGATACTATTGATCATGTTCATATTTTATTAAACGAGTCATGTTCACATTTTAATACATATAATGTCTTTTGAACCAATAATAAGAAAAATAAAAATTAAATATCTTCTTAACTTTCATTCCTACTTATTTTGTATAAAATCATGACGTGTAATGCAATAATTCTTTTTCTTTATCAATGAGAGTGTTCATTAATTCTTGCCTATGAAACTAGATTTCCTTCAAAAAATCTGAATTAAATTGCAAGACTTACTTGAATATCCAGTGCATCTTCAATCCTCCTGATGATCATGTTCATCGTAGGGCGATCGTTGGAGTTCCAACTAAGACACTGATAAGCAATTTCCTTAAACACATGGAAAGATCGAATATTAATTTGAACTCGTATATTAGGATCATTTAACCTATCCAGTCCATCATCATAGTATCGTCTGACCAAATTTATGAGTTTTTGTGGCTCATCATCATCAATGCTCCTTCCTTGACACGCCAACATCCCACTCAACATCTCAAACAGTATCACCCCAAACGAGTAGACGTCTGAATTTGTCTCCACGATGCCACTTTCATTGTAAACGGGATCCAAGTAATATTCGGTACCCACAACATTTTCATAGACTTGTCGCTGATTTTGGTGGACTAATAATGACAAATGAAATCCACAAACTTTGGCATCCAGATTGTCATCTAATAATACATTTGCACTTGTTACATCCCTGTGAATTACTCTGCTTTCCTCACCAATACCCGAGTGAAGATACTTGAGTGCTTTTGCTGCCCCCAAGCAAATCTTAAGGCGCTGCATCCATGTTATGCAACTTATCTTAATTGGGTCCTGAAGATGCTGATCAAGGCTTCCATTTGAAGCGTATTCAGAAACAATAATCATCTCACTTCCTTCATCGCAGTAGCCAATGAAATGGATGATGTTTTCATGGTTGAAGCTGGATATCATCTTTACCTCATTATGGAACTCTTCCTCTCCAAATCCTCCAGTGCGATGATAGCGTTTGAATGCAGCATTGCGGTTTTGCCATTGCTGAGACAGTTTGCCTTTGTAGATTACACCAAATTCACCATCTCCAATCCGAGTTTCATGACTGAAGTCATGGGTGGCCAATCTTATCTCCTCCAGTGGAATGAGAAAACTTTCTAGGTTTTGATATTGGTGGCTTTGAATGGTAATTGCTGAAGCAGCTTCCTGGTTCTGTAACTATGTAACAGAATGAGATTTCGATTAGAGTGGTGTACTGATTTTGCCTTGGATTAAAGAGTATATTATAAGTGGAAAGAAAGTAGATATGATAAGAGCATCCACAATGGTGAGTTCAATGGGAGAGTTGAATGAGGTGGAAAGTCCATGTGTCATTCAATGGATGAAACTCAACCATTGTGAGATGCCACCTTGGCATTTAATGGATTTGGAGTTCAATGGCATTGAACTCTTCAATGGGAAAAAGGAAAATTTTAATCCTTAAATATTTACTATAAATTATATTTTGTAACATTTTATTGAATTTTGTAGAGTTCAATGCATTATAGAAAAAACAATAATAACGTTGTATGAATTTTAGAATGATGATGTGGCAATCCATTAAACTCTATGGAGTTCAATGCATTGTGAATGCCCTAACAGTAGGAACCGTCCCATGAAATATAATCCCACCACTTTTCGTGTGCTACAATCTATTGTCTAACATATTCTTCTATTTGAACAGCAAATGTATAATTTTAACTTTTTAACAACACATAATCACATGATGGATAGATACCAGAACCCATCCTTTGTAATTAAAGGTATTCTCAGAACGTACACCCCTTATGATTTGGTTTTTCCACCTAAAACTTTTTCTTCTTTTAATTCTGTGAAACAAGATTTAATTCAAAAGTTCTATTGTTTTAATTCTATCCTGTGAAAATAGATGTTATTCAAACTATTGAATATAATGACTTACTTGAAAATCCAGTGCTATCTCAATCCACTTGATGATATGGTTTGCCGAAGGGCGTTCCTTTAATTTGAAACTGATGCAGTGGTATGCAATTTCTTCAAACTTATGGAAAGAACGAGCATCTATTTGAGTTATCATATACGGATCAATTAACTTTTCCAGCCCCTCATCTTGGTAGTCTCGTACCAGGTTCATCAAAGGTTGTGGGTTAAGATCGCCGATCATCTTTACGTGATAAGCCATCATCCCAGTCAACAGTTCAAACAGTACCACACCAAATGAGTATATGTCTGATTCTTTGCTGATCCTCCCTCTTTCATAGTATATTGGGTCCATGTAGAAATTGGTACCCGCAACTTTTGTATACATTTGTGTATGTTGCTGAACATTTGTGGGGACTTTTCTTGACAAACCAAAATCACAAATTTTTGCTTCCAGATTTTCGTCTAATAATATGCTTGCGCTCTTCACGTTTCTATGTACTATTCTGTAAACCCCAAGACCTGAGTGAAGATACTCGAGTCCTCTTGCTGCTCCTATACAAATCTTCAGGCGTTGTGCCCAAGATAGGCGACTCCTCTTTTCCGGATTTTGGAGATAATCATCAAGGCTTCCATTCACTGCATATTCGTAGACTACAATCATCTCATTGTCTTCATCACAGTAACCAATGAAGGGAATGATGTTTTGATGTTGGATTTTGGAAACCATCTCAAGCTCATAAACGAACTCATCATGTCCTTGATAAGCTTGCAGATCAAAGCGCTTGATCGCCACAGAGCGGTTTTGCCAGCGCTTGGAGAGTTGTCCTTTGTAGACATTTCCGAACTCACCATTTCCAATCAGAGTTTCTGCACCGAAGTTTTGAGTTGCACGGAGAATCTCCTGCAGTGGAATTTGAAAGTGTTCTAGTTGAAGTTGAACCCTTGAGGAAGACATTGTTTTCTGATATTAATTGGTGGCTTTGTATGGCTGAGTCTGTGAAATATTAAACACAACTGAGTTTGCTTAAAGAATTTATAGCTTTTTAATTACCTGTATAGCCATTTAGGTGATGTAAAAAAAATATCATAGACAGTTGACCTGAATTAAGTCTTGTGAAAAAATAAAAATAAATCCCCCTACCGAACAGATTCACACGTTATGGGTTGTCATATTCTGTTTAATAAAATTTAAAATACATGCAATAATGGTGCTTAGATCTCCCACCTAACCCTTTGAATTATTGTCTAATTGTTATTTATTTCATAATTTGATTACGTACTAGCTAGCTAGTTGTAACTTATAACATGGTTTATTCACATCACCACATGTCATATGTGATTATGTGATGCACTCATGGCCATATTAGTTTAATTCATGTTCGTTTTAATACTTGATGGTACTAAATCTCTTCTTTTTAGTTTGTATATGTACAACCCGACTCATATATCATTTAATACGAGCTTGAAGTTAGCTGCTCCCATTGTAATAAAAGCATGGTTTTCAAAGAAAGTATGACACATGCTCTTTTTAAGAGCTACTTACTTAGTCGTTGTGGTTGCGCAAATAAACCGCGTGATATGGAAAAAATAAATCGTCATACATTAAATTTAGTTACTGGAATTGGTTGCGCAAATAAAATTTAAAACGAATATAAAATTACCTTTTAGTTATGTTTTTAGAGTATTTTTATCGGTTTTCACTCTTCTTTCTGTTTATTTTTCTCATCTTGCATGTTATTTTCTCTTGTAGTCTTCAAATCTAAATGAATTAAATATAAATTTTATATATATATATATATATATATATATATATATATATATATATATATATATATATAAAGGTATTTTTTATTTTTTATCACCTCACTGACAAATGAACCATATGATTATTGAAAGAGAAAACTTACAAGTGTTCGTAATGAAAGCATAAAAGCTAAGAACAAGAAAGAGGAGAATAAATATTAGCTAATACACCAAACCCTAATGGGCTAAAGGCTAAAGACTAACAAATCTGAAGTTTGGTTCTTTTTGTTCTTTTCTACATAAGCAGTTTCAGCGGACATAACATAAATGGATTCGGATCGATGTCCATTCAACACTGGTATATACTTAGTTTCAAATTTGTCATATACCTTAACATCATTGGGTCCAAAGACAACATAATGACCTACAGAGGCGAGTTGTGCAACAGAAAGTAATTCCTTTTTCATTCAAGGCACACAATACACTCCGGGTAACATTAACTCCCTCTTGCTCTCTTCAGGTGAAAAAAACTACATCTCCAATATGAGCTATAGGAAGCTTAGACTTATCAGCAATGACCACCACTCTACTTCTTTCATATTTGATTGGTCTTGTAATCTTTTCTATTCTCTTGTCAGGTGATTAGAACATCCCGAGTCAATGATCCATTCTTCTATTTTATTTCATTCACCTTCAGTAGTTGTTGTGAATGCTTTGGCTTCATCTACCAGGGCTATTAGAGCTTCTGCATCCCAAGCATCTTCTTCTTGAATAACCTCTGTGTTTGCTTCTTCACTGGACCTTGCGGGACAATTTCTGCATGACCCCCATACTCATCAACCTGCTAAAAGAGTAGTTGGCACAAGATTGTGATCTAACTTTTGGATGACCCCCATACTCATCAACCTGCTGACACATGGCAATGACACCACATGAATAACAAATCACAAGCAAAAATAGTGGGTTTTATTTTTAAGTATGAGTGATGCAAATTCATTAGGAACATCTTCCTGTAAATATTATTCAAGAGTATAAAAATGGTTATAAATTGTCACAACTAGCAAATTAGGGATAAGATGTTTACCCTTGTATAAGATAATCTCCTTGTGTCAACTTGCAACATTTCGTTTAGTGAAATTCAAACTGCAATGCTATTAAGTTCATACATTCGTACCTTGTCATTCAAGTCGAAACAAGCTCATGTAGCCTAAAACCAAATTCTATAAACTAAGACTACTCAACTTTCGGCTTTAGCCCAAGCTTCTCGGCCCAAATCCCTTTTTGGACCAAGACCCCCTTATTGGGCCCTAATGGCCGATAACCTCTCTAATTCGTCTTTTGGGCCGAAAATCACCCCTTTGGGCCTTATTGGGCCGAATTCCTTCACTTAATCTCATTGGGCCGAAAGCTTTATTTTTAGCATTAATGGGCCGCAATTCGTTATTGGACCTTCTATTTGGGACATAAACTCTTATTTAACACCATTTTGGGACAAAAACTCCTCTAATGGGCCTTTTGGGCCAAAAACACACACATGGACCTTAGTTGGGCCAATAATTAATATTTTTTGGGTCCTTTGAACCAAAAACCATTTATTAAACTTTAATGGGCCGAAAACCCTTATTGGGCCGAACCAAAAATTAGAATTTCTTTTCTTGGGCTACTCTTTTGGGCCGAGGATCTCTCTTGGATTGGTTAGCCCATTGTTAAAATAAATAAATAAATAAAATGTATGCAAGAGAGGGTGACACCTCAATAATACATAACATATAACCAGGCCAATTATCCTACGTACTTGTAGAAAGGATGAAATTGTCCATCATGTAACAATGCTTGATCTTCTCTCTCTCTTCCCTTAAATAGTGTCTGATCCTCCCACCTCCATTCACCGTTTCATCTGCAAAAGACTTCCACTCAAACATTCAAGAATTTCTCATCTTTCCCTCCAAACATTCATAAGTGTGTATATGTTCTTCAAGAAGTTTTCTTTAAGGATTATACACTTGGTAAGTTCCAACCAAACTTAAGATGTTTTATTTACAAATTATACTAAGATCATTGCACAAAAAACTCCATTTTCGTGTCTATGCTTCCTAGAACTAGCTTGACACTATGGGTAATACCGTAAAAGACATGAAGGGAGAAAATTGACATTTTTTAACAAACTTGCTCTAAGTTAATTTGGTATATATCTAGAGATGAGGCTGCACATATTAATTCACATGACTAGTTATCATATATAATTTCCCTCCACATACTGCTCATAAAAGAAAAGATCAAATTTAAATATATAATGATATATAATTAATTAAAAATAAGTTAAGTACACATAATCTCATACATGTTATGAATATTTTATTATAAAAGTATAGAACAAACGTTGTATTTAACTTTAAGCAAAAGGGAGGTTACTTTTATAACTGTTAGACATCTCAAAATGGAATTGTGGTGCTTACTTGGAGACTGGGGATTATATAAAATTATATATATATTAATTACCAAAATTGGTATGTGTGAGGATTTACTATTCATTCCAAGTAAGCAGATTTCATCCTTTCAATTTTGTTTTTCATTTTCTATCCTTTATTTTTATTTGTTTTTATATTTTCTACCCCTACTAATTTTGATGTATTTTTTTTCATTTTCCACCCTTTACTTTTATTTGTTTTTATATTTTATACCCATAAACTAATTTTTATGTAACAATTTTTATCCTTAATTTTTTTTCATTTTCCACCCTTTACTTTTATTTGTTTTATATTTTATACCCCTAAACAAATTTTGATGTAACAATTTTTATCCTTATAATTTTAAAATTTTTATATATTTATATTCTTTCTCCTTAATTAATTTTTATTTAACAGTTTTCAACCCTTATAATTTTAAAGTTAATTTATTAGTATTTTATACATTATAATTTTGTCACTTACTATATTTTAAAGTTATATTTTGACCCCTTATATAATTTTTTAATAATCTTTTTTTTTTTTTTATAAATTTCTTACAGATACACTTTCAAGTCAATTGTTTGTATTCATGTTTTATTTTGATATTTTTTATCTCCATTTTATATGATTTAATCATTTTCATTGTATATATGGTGTCAAACTGCGTTTTTTAACACACTGGAGCTTCCGCAGCAACGCGCGGATTGTCCAAACCCTAGTTTTGATTTATTTTTTAATGATGCAAATAAACAAGCAAGAAACAAAAGAATGTTAAAGTAAAAGTAACATTTATGTTCACAGAAAAATGTTATAAGAGTTAAATTCAAACGACTGCTAACCACAAACAATAATTCATTAAACACTATAATAATATAAACATAAAAGACAAGATCAAGGCCCTATTTCATTTTTTTACTGGATAACTATGTTGCAGTTTCTAGAATAAGTCAAAAAGAAACAAAACCCAATATTTCATAAACAACACTAAAAAAGAAATTGAAGATTAAAGATACGACAAGATAAAAGCAAATCCAACTCCAAGTTCACTGTTGTTAATATCAGGCCCAGGGAAAAAGAGAAAAAGCGGCCCTTCAAATTACAATATTTTAAAGTCAAATTACCATAATTCATATACACAATAAGAAAAGATATGAGAAACTTACAATGGGGTTCATTAATAGCTTGTCAAATGAATGCTAAGTTTTGTAATCAAGTTCAACAGCATAAAAAACACTTTGCCTTACACAGTTTGGAGTTTGAACACCTACAATCAAATTTCATTATGTATATGTATATCCACCAATATGACGAAACTAATAGCAGCATAATCAAAAGAAAATTATTTTACGAACAACAACTAAACTATCAATCCCTGCTCCTTGAATAAATGAATGAAGATTTGCAGAAAAGAAGGCACTAAACCGTGTTTTTACCACCTTATAATCTTCTTCTTTGATAACAAGACCATCGACAAGTTCTACCCCTTTTCTTCTTTTTGAAGTAGGCTTTGGTTTTTCAGTACCATATAAATCCCTCCTGAACACCTCAACATCTCTCCCCATTGGGCCATGCTCCCTTATAACCTACATTAAGTCCTTTTGTAGAGATTAAGTCAAAAACAACCAACCATATATAGTTGACTGGATTAACTTTTTAACACATAAGTTCATTAACTCAAAGAAACAACCCCTTTTAGTATGATTAACTAATAACTAACTAGCATCTTAGAAGTATTCCAATACATTCTATCATACTAAAAGTTAATTTCTAGATTAACAAGATAAGAGAGAGAGAGAGAGAGAGAGAGAGAGAGAGAGATTATTTACATAGAAAAGTACCCAAACAACAAGGAAGCTTCATTGTCTAGCAACCTCAACTACCTTAATAACATTAGGAACTATAGCTAGGCCACCATCAACACAGAATGACACATCCTTTAACACAAAATCATTCTAGAACGAAGAAAGAAACATTAGCAAAAGGATGTAAATTGTAATTATAAATAAAAAAAGCATAAAGAAGCAATTTGTGAGTGCGTGTGTGTGTGTGCGAGAGAGAGAGAGAGAGAGAGAGAGAGTTAGAGTGAAAGGAGAAAAGGATACCTGCATATCAATTACATCGTAAATCCTGTAGCTATAACAAGAGTCTCCTGGAGTGAGAGCGAGATATTGCGTATAGATCTATACGGGGTTGACACCCCCACACCTGAGTTGTTCGCTACAGCTAGGTAGGCAAGTTTAGGGTGACAATTATCTTTAGAAACCGATGCCTGAAGAACGTCAACACAGACGCTCTCATCACATCAATATGGTTGTAACGAATCACATAGAGAATAACAAACACTATTTTGGTTTACGGGAAGCTTACACTTTGCTGGTTTTATACAAATTAAAACTGCATATTACTTATGAATACACTACTGGTCTGGGGATATACACTATACACCATAATTTACATACAACAGAAAATATTGGATTTTGTGCAGACATACACTATACACTACAATTTACATACATTAGAAAGTATTAGATTTTCTGGTAACGTACGCTTTATAAATACAAGTAATAGAAAAAAAGGACATGCATGCATAAATTCTCAATTTTAGAACAAGACTTACAAACAATTTTTCATAGAAAACATCATATTTTCTAAAAGTACTACGAGAACTATTGTAAACAAGTACAAAAACCATTTTTATAAAAAAAATGCTTATGAAATCACCAATTTTTTAGTTGATGCTTTTCAATATGACTTGTATTCTCAGGGAAACAGTAACAGGTAATCAGCTCTGCGAAGAGATCAAGTGGTGCAACATTAAATTTTTTCCTTTTTTAAGTTTTGTGTAACTGATGAACAAGTACGATATATAAACAATCTAAGTTTGTATTCTCAATGTATGTCGCCTGTAATGCTATGTTTCATTCGTATTTAGTTGCGATGGCACTACACAATGACGTCATCGCCCCCAGATGTTTCCGCCGTCCTAGTACGGGGGTGTGATAGGTTGGTATCAGAGCATTGTTTATAGTTAACTAGTATATCAAACCATACAAGATATACAACTATAAATACAATGAGACTAAAGCACTTTGACTAAACGTATACCTTAAAATTATAATTATGTTTATAATATTATACACACATACTAAGACAGTGTCATGATAAGAACAAAACTAAAGTAATTTAATGTTGGACACCACAATCGAACCTAGATAGTTATGTAATCATATCTGGGATAAATATAGCCTGATCAACTATATTTATGCAAGATATGACCAACATGTGTTTGGGGGTGATAGTTGCGTTGCAACGAGACTGAAACTTACCCACTTTGCATGCAAATGAACATTAGAATTAAACATGAAGTTCAAAATACTATAGCAGTATTTTAGGATACCATATCATCCTTGTACTTAAACCTTCTACATGTTTCTTACACCCCTATTCCCGCACAAGCAACATGGTTGAGTTTCACCACGAAGACCCCTACTACCTTTCCGTAGTGGCCAACGAATAGTATATTCCCACTCTTGATGTCTCTATCAAAAAACAATAACAAACTGTCATTAACCATCTTAAAACTGGGTTTTCAATTTGGATCACAAAATTGGGTTCATATTTGCAAATTTAGATTTCTAATACACTTTCTAAAATTCGGATTTCAGATTTCGATCCCAGGGTCTCTGCCCCTTAGACCCCACCAGGGGATGTCGCCCTTAGACACCTCTACCAGGGGCGCTGCCCGGAACCCCCGTTAGCATACGGGATTCTCCCTTAAATAGTAGTGTACTTTCAACCAATATAAACGTAAACAAATGTACAATCCACACAAACCTAACTTGATTTATATTTATCAAGGAATTATTGATCAACAAATTAATCCTATTACACTTAAATAATATTAGTGATATGAAATCACCAACATTTAATTCATTTTTTTCATTAAATTTCATCAAATCAAACAAACACTTAAAAATTAAGATTAAAAATTAAGTTTATTCATCACACGCATCAACCATAGTTATCAATCTAAAAACTCCACATAAGTGTATGTAGTTTATCACAAGTTCCATTAGAAGACCGAAAATTAAAGCATGTGTATTTATAATTACATTTCTTCTTGTCCCCAAATTTACAATAAAAGTATATGTTGTACATTGACAAGACATAATATATCGACGACTGATGTTTAATTAGTTGTACAAAACACAACATTGACAAGACATAATATATCGACGACTGATGTTTAATTAGTTGTACAAAAACTGGAAAGTTGGATTTTTGGAAAGTTCCGCACTCGGCTTAACATTTGCGTAATCTTTTACTTGTAAGGAAGTAGTTAGGTCATCAATAGAGAAAGTCATGCTGCATTTTAAAAGTCGAATCTGATTAGCAACACAGTTTCATTTTCGGTGGATAAATTGGATATTGTCAATATGTAAATGCATAAGTATAAGAGTTCCTATGAACTTGCATTCAAAATAAGGTTGATGCTAACTCCAGTAAACTAAAAATATCTATACATTTAGCTGACGTATTGGTGGGTAAGGGTTTCATTAAGTAACATATGATGAAAAGAAGAATATATCATGCTAACTAGTTATATCATCAATAACATAAAGAATCCTATGAGTTATGTATAACTTTAATTATCTATGTTAAGAGAACATGATGCATTATACCTGGACCTATCTTCTATTAAAAAGGAATTGTTGCTAAAGTTACTAGATTCTTCTGTCATCAGTATCCTCATGATTGAGATGACCTAGTCCAGATAACATAATGACAAGTTATTAAGTTAATATTTACAACATTATGTAATAAATTTCAGTTCCTTAAAGATGAAATTTCACATGTAACACTTACATCATGTGAAACACGTGGAGTATTTCCATTCTCATCCCAATAAAGAGTACACATTCTATGCAGTTGTTGGAGACTTAGAATCTATAAAATAAATAGAGATTCATCTTATAGAATCAGTGTATAAGAGAGCACACATGCATCTTGATATCAATAGTGTACCCTAATGTATGGCAATTCAACTAAGGGACATTAGAAAACAAGTCATAGACTTTTTAAATAAACCAGGCTCTTTCAAATTCATCTGTGTGTGTATGTGTGTATGTGTAGCATATATATATATATATATATATATATATATATACACACACACACACACACACATACACACACACACACACACACACACATATATATATATATATATATATATATATATTGCCAGGTTTTTTTGAAAACCAAAAGATTTGTAAGAACTTGCGAACTAATAATCACCACATCATTTTTCAAAATAAAAAACGTGAATCTTCTCCAAATGGCACGTATAAGCCATATCCAGTCTAAAAAAAGATTTGATGTTTTGTTTTTTGGTTATTTCAGAAATGTAGGTTTATGCATAACCAACAGTAATATGGAATGCTGATGAGCACAATCAGCAGTCCATATGACAGCTGACTATGTTTATCAGCGGTCCATATAATTGTTGATTATAAATACATGTAAATTTTCAAAATGAATAATAAAAATTGTCAAATATTTGTTTGAGCCTAGATATGTCTTAAACACACAATTTGGAGAAGGTTGGTGTCTTTTATTTTGAGAAATAATGAGCTGATTATGAGTTCGCAAGTTTATATGCTTTTTTTAGTTTTCATAATAACTCAGTCATATATATATATATATATATATATATATATATATATATATATATATATATATATATATATATATATATATATATATATAATGGTGAAACTCTTTCTTTCCTCACGATTGAAATTATCTCAAATTTAGTCCAAAAAGACAAATGTTTTAAACATAGTGAGGTGCAATACAGATGACTTTAACATTGTTTTGCAAGAATAACATTTTACAACAAGCTATGAAAATGCTATGTTTCACCCAATTTGGTTTATGATTGGTCCAACCCAAACACTATATCTTGCATCATTATGGTGTTTGTGGATAATAAAACACAAAATATTGTGTTATAAAATCTACTCACACCAAATTTACTATTGAAGTTCTATTTATCTATTCATTACTTCAACTTTGATAATTATGTTCCAGAATAATGAAATCTTATGTATTGACATGGATTGGATATAGTATATGATGTCTAGAAAGTGTTTTTATAATTATGTTGTTATATCTATTTATTATTCATGTTATCTTTACCATTACAACAAAGGGTGTTCCATGAAATTTCCAACAAGAACCTTTAATTTATCTGAATTTACTTGCAAATATGTCAATACCCAACATATGCAAATACTTACACATCAATATTTAGTATTCATAAATGAAATTGGTTTTAATACACACCAGATTAGTCTAGTATACAAGTTTTGATCTTATATCATGTTTGAGAATGAATGACTTACCGGGCATAGATCATTGGTGATTTCTTGATACGATATGTGGTCTTTTTGAGTCAATGTCTAAGGGTCATAAAGATATTAAATAAGTTAACATATAGAATAATGAGCCATTAATTTAATATTAGGCAAAAGAAAAAAAAACATATGTTTGTTCAGAAGAGAAGCAAAGCAAAATAGAACCTCAAAAAATGCAACTTAGTTTGAGATACATACCAAGAACCCAATAGCCTCTCTAACAGGCTTTAGTTCATCCCAAGATGATCCTGTATACTATAAATATAGAAAAACACTTTTTAGATCATATATTCGCCATGAAAGAATTACCTAATCATATCACCAAAGAATTAATATTAAATAATTAAAAGTTAACCCAATTTAAAGGATGTTTATTTTCGGATATAGATATAGTTTTACAAGTGATTTCTTGTGATAAAAGTGCATAATGTAGATGCCATATCACACCAAACTAAATAATAGTCTAAAAATGACATGTGCAATACATTTCCATAAGTTCAATGTTACCGGAAGAGTGTTGTAGTTAGAGTCAAATGATCTATCAACAATTTCTATATGCTTCCTAAGAAAGATTTTAACTTATGTGCAAAGTCATTAGAGTCTTTGCATCTCTAAATTAGATTTCTTTGTACTTTCGAATGAAAATGTCTTGTGGAGACATAGTCCAAAGAAAACATAATGTACGATCTATACCAAAATTATGTAAAAGCTTATAGTAGGTCCATCTGGTTGGCATTCTCAACAACTTCACGATATGTTACTATGATTAAGACAAACGATAAGCAGAGTAACCCATTTATTTCTACTTCTCCAAATTTCTTAGTAACTACGACACCTCCAACATGTTGAAATTTATGTTTTTGTTACTAATGAGAATATCCGGAATAAATTGATGCATGGTTTGATGAATAAAGGTTTCCTTATGCACCAAGATAAAAGAGAGAAGCAAAAAACATGAACAGATTAACTTCTTGATCCTAACTTCAACACGTGCAAAGTATAAAGAGAAACAAAACTTACTGTGAATTTTATTGAATAATAAAAACTGAAATTGAAACATCTATTTATACTAAAAAAAGAATCCTACTCTAATACCAAAACAAGGTAAAACAACCTTTTAGAATCAAAGTTATCCTAATATAATAAAACTATCCTTACAAATTGATTAATCTAATATGGTTTTGTTAGATGCAGTTGATGGTGAAGTACTATATTACTTACCTACTCTACCCAATAGTATTTTGGGTTAGCATATTAATAAGTTATTATTCTACTTTTGTATTGGAGGTTTCTTTATCCTTTTAGCTAGGGTAACCCTCATTAGTTTTTTAAGTTGTGAAGCCCAATCTCCCCTTTCACCCTTGTCGACTTTTCACCGCCCAAGCACGGGGTGCCACTTGTAGCAAAGTCTGAAGAGTCGGCATGTATTGAAGTGAAGCTGATATTAGTAGAGCTAATTCTTTGAGGTTCCCCTTCCACACACATCATTCTTTAGCATTTAAGGGAAAATTCAAATGTTGGTTGTGACTTCACATAGTTTTTTTGGAGACTAAGTTTAGCATTCACAAGGATTGGTATGTTTATGTGTCACAAGAAAATAAACCTCATCTCAATAGAAATTACGTCAAATATTTGTCATAAATAGATCGATCTATAAAATTGTAACGCTAAGGGAGGAATAAATTGAAGATCATCAATAAAATGTCTCTCTAGGTTGACAATGGATGTAGTTTGATTAATATGATCAAGTGAACCACAAAAATCCGTGTCTTCTTATTTAATTTTTGCATTCTTATTATTATGTTTATGTTTGTAGAGTTGAGCTTAGTCCTAAGATAATCTTCCTTTATTTATAGTTTTATTTTCCTTTCTTTGTAATTCACTATCCTTTTATAATAAAACTATAACTCTTTTGTTATCAATTATAATTGTATAAGATCAACTCTTCTCGTTCGATGTTTTTTAATGGCAGGTTAGTGGTTAAAAATTACTATCAACAAATTAGTAGCTAGAAATTTCCTACACCAAGATTAGAACCCTGAGACCTCCAATCTAAGAGGAAAAACCTCTACCAAGTGGGCTTGTCCAACATTGACGTTCCATGCTTTTTGATCTGATGAATATGGAAGACATTTAGCTATGAATGTGGAAAACATTTAGTTGGCACAAGTTTTGTGGATAAAAAAGATTTATGTTTGATTCATATGCATTCTTATCAAGTATGGTTTTCATTTATGTTGGTATTTCATTATTACTACTGTTGTTCATATATGTTGCTAGTACTACAGTGTTTTTTTGGCTTTGATTGTTGACAATGGGGTTTGAATATATATGAAAGATCTAGTATGCTCAAGAGTCATAGTAAAATGATATTGCTAAATAACATATGATCCTAAGGGTCACAATAACAACAACTTGATAGGAATGATTATTTATTAGAAATTAATTTTAATAAATATTCATAAACTCTTATAATAATTAGGAAAATATTTATTTCAAGGAAATAATTATTTTACAATACAAGTAAAAAAATTATTTTATATGGTATGAATATAATATGTCATCTATATCTTTTTGGACCTAGTAAGCCTTTTGTATTTTAGCAAAAGACAAAGTTTATATCCTATAAACTTTGAGTTTATAAAATATAAACTCTTTACTTGTCTTTTCCTTCTTAGAAACATGAAATGAAGAGAATCTTTTTCCTTCACTCCTCTCTCCTTCTCTCTTTAAGTGATAATCTTTTATTTGGTTTAAAAGCTTTAGAGTTGTAGCAAGCATTAGATCAAGTTGGAGGGTTCATCCACACTCCATCAACATCCAAGCCTCCCCTAGATGACTCAATGTGCTTCAAAGGTTGTTACCACTTCTTCCTTCAATGGTTGTGTTTTAAATATTTCATTTACTTGCAAGATGATCCTTGGTAGGTGATAAAATGTTTATGTTATTTAGAACTCATGTCCTCCCCTTTCCATTATTTGTAGTTTTTTGAAACTAGATTTTAAATAAAACCAAACAATTGGTATCCATGCCACCATGTAAGCTTGGTTAATATTTTTTGATTTATGGAAATCTTAGATTTTGGAGAATATGCATAACTTGTTTTTGTATAAAGAGAAGTTCGTACATATTTTATTTGACAAATTTATAATTATTATTTTATGTGACAAAATTTACATGCATTTTTTGTCACTTAACGTTGTCTTAGAAACAAAAATGTTGTTTTATGTTTATATGCATTTTAATGTTCATAAACAAGCCTTGGACCAATTTTGTTGTTGTTTTGTGTTATTTGGTTGAAAATGGATTGTAATATTCTTTTATTCATAATGTATATAATAAAAGGAGCTAGTTTTTATTCTGGTTATTTTTATGTAACAGATTAGTTTCAGACTAGATTTATTTCATGAAAAATCTAACAAGATGAAGATGGAGGCCATTTCTTGAAGAACCATGGAGACCATTGCTTTATAAGCATTTTTATAAAAGTTTATATCTTTAATACAAAGTTTTATAAAATTGCAACAAAGTTGGTTGTAATTGCAACTCGGAGCTTGAATATCACATGAAGAAAAAATTGTAATATTTGGTCCCTTTCTCCCTTAGGAAAGACTTAACACTTTTGTGTTGGGTCACAAAAGTGTTATATAGTTTAAGGCTTGTTAATGTCAAATGCATGCTTGTGTTGTTTATTTTTCAAATAAATATTTTGTGGTTGATAATTTACTTTTTCGCAAACCCAAATTTTTTTTTTGGACAAAATAAACATCACATGGAGTTTGGATTTCAAAATATAAAATATGGACATTGGATGTATCATATTCTCGACATAAAATAAAAACCGGTTTTATAAAATTGTTAATTACGACAACTTTTGAAATATTGAATTATAAGTGTAAAAATCACGTTTTTATAACTTATTCAAACTCCAAAGTATTATTTAATAGAAGGGGTTTTATTAAACAATATTAAAAGGTTCAAAATTGCTCATACATGTACTTAATACTGGGTATTAATTTTAAAATTGAACCAAGCTAATATATAAAAACCGGGTTTTTATAAGAACCTTAAAAGTAATGTTTTGGAAAAATTGATACATGACATATTGGATGCATGCAATTGTTATAATATCACATGTTTTAAATAAAATAATAAAACATTCAAATCCCTTCTTCAAAATGCAAGCTATGCCATCCAACTGTAGAAACATTTGTACATCACTTATATAATGCTAATGGGGTAAAGGATACCTAATCATAAGTATTATCTTTTGATGGCCAAAGTATTTTTGCGATTTCAATAACGAAGTTATGGGCTAATTATAGAAGTTTCTCAAATTGGAAGACTTGATTGGAAACCTCTTGTGATAAAGGTCACCTAAGAAAGAGTGTTCCAAGGCATAGATGAGACCAAACATGTCAAATTAACAAATCGATTATTAAGGGTCTCATAAACCTTGGAATTACAAATGGTGCAATTAATACAAGTTACTTACCTTGTTAAAATTGGGTAAATTGGATAAATTATACGTAACCATTTATTTGATTTGTAACTTGGATCCTAGACTTTAAATAAATAATGTTTTTAGAAGCAAAATGGTATTATTATTTAATGAATTAAATATTAATTGAAAACATTGTTAAACTTTTGTAGATGGCTCCACCAATTACTGTAACACATCACTCAATGAACATTCGTTCAGTTCTTGACAAAGAAAAACTCAAGCACTTCAACTTTTTGGATTGGCACAGAAATTTAAGAATTGTTTTGAAAAGAAGAAAAGAAAGGCTATGCCATTGAAAACCAAACTCCTGATGAACCACTTGCTCTCCCAATGGCTGCACATGATGCATGGCTAATGTATGTAGATGATTCACTTGATATTTAATGTCTTATGCTTGCCTCTTTGGTTCCCGATCTTCAGCGGGATCTGAAACACTACACTGCCTTTGACATGATTGGAGATCTCAAGGAGATGTTCGGTAAACAAGCTAGAACCGAAAGGTTTGACACAATGAGAGAATTTCATGCCATAAAAATGGAGGCGAGTGGAAATGTGAGCACACATGTTCTCACGCTGAAAAGTTACATAGCTCAACCGGAGAGATTGGGCTCTCCATAACCACAAGACTTGGCTACAAATATCATTCTGAACTCTTTGCCAAAGTCTTACAATACTTTCATCATGAACTACAACATAAATAAGTGGGAAAACCTATCTCTGAGTTGCAAGGGATGCTAAAAACTGTAGAGAA